ATCTGGGCCAGTCCGCCACTGGAAAATATCGTTGGTAGAAAGGTTTATTGTGAAATATATACCCTATATTCAATATCATCAAAGCCAGAGCTGAACAACGCAACGTTTCTTGAAGCGATAGGCTTTGCTCAACTGGTGTTCTATCCAGCAAATCGAGGTCCCAGCAAATCGAGGTTCCAGCAAATCTTTTACTTTCGTAGCCAATGTTTCATCAGTCCCGTTGGAACCAGGGGGGGCTGGAGCCCCTCACAGTGGCGTAACGGAGCAATATGGGGCCCTTAGTGAAAGTCGTGTTTAGGGGCCCCCATACTTAACTAAGGTTGACTCAAATTTTAGAGCCTAATCACTCACTCTTCATAAATCAAAATTCTTTTATGCCTTCGAGCATTGACATGTGCGAATCGCTCAATGAGTTCAGTCTTATCAATTGATATAGCTTCCGAATTTTCTATGGACAGTATTGCCAAGTTATCGAGTCTTTCTCGAGATATCTTTGGTCTCAGTACGTTTTAATCAATTTAAAGTTTTGAAAATGATCTCTCAGCTGTGGCAACTGTAACTGGAATTGTTACAAACAGAATTAGTAATTTGTACACTTCTGGAAAGGATGAACTCACTCTGCTTTCCAGCATCAAATTTACAATTTCCAGAACTGACTCTTTGTCTGCAATATCTTTCTCGGACTCCTTTGCAAATAACCGCAATTCGGTTTCCAAATTTTCCGTAAAATCATCTTGATATGCTGCAATTACAGCTTTTGTGATGAAAATCTGATCAGACAATTTATACTTTGCCAGTGATTTGGGGTGAAGAAACCTGAAAAGGTTTGTTACCAAACTTTACTCATTAAATCGCAATGGAGGCTGCATAAGAGCGGTGTCGACTGTTTTGTTTGAAAACCTTGACCTTAAACCATTTTTCTGGATCACTTAACGCATCATCTCGAGATAGTTCATCAAAGAAACACTTGACTCTGCGGTTTCTCTTCTGGGTAAATTCAAGAGATGATCACCAAACAGGCACCGCGCAGCCAGTGGGCTAGCAGGGGCTATAGCTCACCCACTTGTTTAGGTTTACTCACATAAAAAATGTTTAGGTTTACTCTAACGCAACTTTAGATAGTTTTTTCCTATGTAGTAGCAGTTCTCATTGACTGGAAGCCATTTTTGTTCTTTTTCTAATTGTTTAATCTTGTTTAATGATATGATGTATTTTTTAACTTGGTTAGTTTGGTTTTTTAATACCCTCGAGCTAATTCTATCTTTTTCTTCATAAGAACACTTTTATAAGAACACGAGCCTCAAAACTGGTCAAAAGTTAAGAACAAATTAAAAACAAGCTGAATCTGAGCTTCTGCAAAATGAAATTTTGAACGTTTTTCTCAAAATCGAAATCAAAATCTTTTTCGGTGAATCTTCAAATTTGTCAACAAATTAAGGCTGTCTCACTCACTTTGTTGGCAAATGAGGCCTGAACACCTTCTTAGAGCGAAAAATCTAGCAATAGCACTGCAATTTAGCCTCAGATTTTCGAAAAATTCAAGAACAGTCAGCCTGAACCTAAATTCACTAGCTCTTATAAAAAAAGGAGTGTATTTTTATAGTTATTGATATCTTCTCTAAACCAAACTGTTTATAAAAGTTCAATAGAAATGAGCAAGTATTTTCTAAAAGAGGCATTTTTCGGCGTTCAAGAGGGCGTGGCCTCAAAGATTTTCCGGTCAGACCCATTTTAGCCCCTCCACTTCTGAAGCAGTGCGCGGTCTCTGAGCACCAAAAACTGGCAAGTTCAGAAGCTGTCATCCTGGGCTGCAAACAAGCTGCAAACAGGAACATGTTCATGGGCTGCAAACAGGAACATGATCAATTTTTTCTGAAAAAGAGACGGCACATATTAGCGCATTTAGCTTAAGTGGAATGCAAGTGGAGGGCACATACCACATACCCCTGGCTCTTACGTCTATGTTTGAGGGGGGGGGGGGTAAATGCAGTCAAGAAAAGTTTATGTAATTTGGAGAAACAGCAAAATTGTGTTAATCGCGTGACTTCTACCGTTTCATAGTCAAAATAAAGCACCAACATCATTGATTCTGCCTATTCTGATACATACCCTCCTGGTTCGAAATTTCAACTCCCACTTTCAAGCTTACCGTACATCCTCGAATAAGCCCCCACGCTCGAATAAGCCCCCCTCCCCTCTCCCCTCGAATAAGCCCCCACTTAAAAATCATTTTTGCAAATAAGCATAATTGCAGAATAATATCATGTTCAAGAAAGCCCCTACAGGACAAAAGCTTTACAGAAAAAAAACCCAGCAATTCGCATTTTTTCTCTCTCTTATTCATGTTAAAAACATATTATAAATAGTTCTTTCTTTGCTGAAAAGTATATCGTAAAAAAAAAGAAAAGAAAAGTGTTGCTGAAAAATATAAAGTATATTGTTTGATTGATTGATTGACTGATTGACATGATTACTTCCTTTGACTGAAGACCAAAAAGCAAAAAAAGCGACTTTTCTGATGATGAAAAAATTATAACATTCCTTAGTTCTTTGCTAGATTTGTTAGAAAAGTTAGTCGTTTTTATGTCGACCATTGAGGACAATACTAAACTTTGAAATAAGCCCCCTTCGAATAAACCCCCCCCCCTCGAATAGGCCCCCACCCATGCGTTCATTTTTGCAAATAAGCCCCGGGGGCTTATTCGAGGATTTACGGTAATCCAATACATACGCATGCATAAACTACAGAAATAAACAACATTTTCAAGCAAGTCATAAGTAAGCAAATAAAATTTAGAACTTTTTTATCATTTTCTTAAGTTTCTTTCAATTTCTATGTTATTCTTTCAATTTCCTTCTTGTTTCCTTCCAATAACCACTTCCTTCCTTTTTCCTCCCAAGGACTCCTTTTCTCGCGTAGCTGACTAATTTTTTGTTACAAATGTAGATTAGCATTTTCTATTGATATGTTAATTTTTCATAAACCCAAAGATCCCTTTGATTTATACCTTGCCCTTAGATACAGTTAAGCAAAGAATTTGACTCTTTTTCTTTCTCAAACTAGTTCTGGGCTCTCAAAAACGCTTTCAACAATTCCTAATTCTCATGAGCAACTACCCAGAATTTAAGTCGGTAGTTAAACTACGCTAATTTTTCAGAATAGTACATTTTTAAAGTCTCGTTTTGCCATAAAATAAAGAAAATCGTAAGAACATGATTAGGCTGTTCCTAAAGATTAGAGGGGACATCGATGTTTTTAGAAAGTGTTTTCTAATCGTGACAGAGCAGAAGAGATTGTATCAACTAGTCGGCTACACTTTTTTCATGAAAAACTGTTGTTTAAAGACCTCAGAAACAGTAAATTGCATTGAAAGTAAAAAGATCTTTGAAGAAGTTAAGCATCATCAAAAACTTCTGAGCCTCAAAATATCCGACAAATAAGAACATCGGGCCTCCAAAAAACTAAAGTCAATAGAATTAGTCCCAATTATATTATGTCAAAATTTATCTTCTTCTTATATAAGGAAGTATCATAGCCCACTTTACAAACATGCTGGCATGGGCCTGGACTAAAATTTGACAATATTCACCAGGGCCAATAATTTAATTCATTAAAATCTGAACAATATATGTTCTATTTCAAATAATGATGTTGTTCATCCAGCAGAAGGACACTAACCTAATAAGGATTTGGGTGGTCAGCCTAGAAAATTTCATACATCGCCCAAACATATCTGCTCGTTTTACAAAGATCCAAAAATGTCAGATCTATAGTGAACTTAAAATACGACATTTTATTTGCACTTAATCAGCCATATACTCAGTCACATATTTGCACTTACGCACAACAGCTTATATTCCTATTGTATTTACATTCGCTTTGTAGCCTAGCTTTTCTATTCGCTTTGATTTAGTTAATTCCCTATAATGAGCTGTTTTATTATAGTTGTGTAGATAGTAAAAATGATTAATCGAGTTCTGGTACAGAGAAAAACAAGTCGTCTCAACTCTTCTCTTCTGCACACACCTAGGTGAGAAGTTATATACATATATACAAACTAACACAAAAATTAGTTAGTAAAAGAAACAACAACGCTTTTACTAAAGATCTTCTTTAAACTTTCGCTCAAAAATATCACAGCTTGAAAATTTTGGTGAAAAAGTTTTACTTGTAGGTTTAAAAGGCATGAATTCGAAAGGGAAAAACATTTCGCTATACGGCAAGAGAAAAACGTCGAAAATCCTTCTTTATGCGGCAGCTTTTAAGCAGCGAACACGACTAAGGAACGCAAGCATGCGACAAGAATCTATCTCATTTAGGCAACCACCCTATGATGCAGTAAATAAGGCTATTTTGAATTTGTACAATTTTTAGCCCGTATACTTTTACTCCGACGAAGCCCCGTACGCCGAGGCGAAATATTAGCCATAACTTATTTACGTGTATTTGCTGTCGTTTATCGGCGCGTTGCGGTGTCCCTTATTACTACATTTCAATCGATTTTTAGCTAAGAATTCTACCGGAGTCCGTCGAGCAGCCTGCTAGTGTGGCCTTTCCTTTATTCACACATCCTTTTATAACCCTAGGTATCCTTACATAAGCCTAGAATAACAACTACGTAATATACAAATTACATATTTTCTGATTCAGTTGATTTTTGATGCCAAAATGCTGATTCAGCATCAGCGCAATGATGAAATTGACATGAGATATTGTCCAAAAGTGATCCTGTTTTCTAACACAATGAAATTGTTGCATAAAAGGATTTGGTTTTACAGAAGGGCGTGGTTCTCATAAATGGTCGTGAAAAAGTCGGTTCCTTCTTCCTCCTTCGTTGTGGCAGTCGTCGCATGATACTAATATCAAAAGAAAACTTGGTCCTCAAAGCTTCAAATTGTGTAATTTAATACTGCGTTGTATTTTGATTCGCAATTCCATATCTAGAAAGATAGAATATTATCAAACAATCAATAACAAAATCGGTTTACTTTTTTCACAGCTCCGTAACTTGTTTCTGAAAGAAATTCTCGCTGCTCCTTGTGAAATCCAAAGTCAATAATCAAAGATAGTCTGGACCAAAGACGATGGATATTGTCAATACATTGATTGCATTTTCGCTTTTGGTCAGCGTTTTTGGATACGATCCAAACTATCGCAACATTTTCTACCAAACAACAAAAGAGGTTCAGAATCAGCCTCTTTCCGATATCACTGGAGAGATCCCCAGTTGGATTGAAGGGGACTTCGTGCGCCAATCATGTGCTTCTTATGGGGATATAGATGGTAATAAACACATTTCGTATGATTTCTTCTTTATTTGAATCATCTTGAATTCTTTTATTACATGCTGATAAAGCGTTTCCAAATACAGAATTTCCTTAAGTGACGTCACAAACGACTCTATTTTATTATATGTATTCGATCTATTGCCTATAGCATTTTCATTTTTCACAAGAACCTAATTGTGGGTGTTTGTGAGATTCTGATTCAATTCAAATTCAAAGTAAGGACAAATGTAGCTTGTTTAGTTATGTGGTTTCTTCTATTGGGCTAAACGTTTTGGCAAAAGCTTGTAAGGAAAATAATTATTGAACAATTTGAGCAATAATGATAATCTTTGTAGAATCTTTATAAAATTTTACATTTAACAAGGGTTGAATCTTGGCAACAAAAGATACGATATAAAAACTGTGGTACTGTAATTTATTCTGCAGAATATCGTTCTCATCAAGAAACAAAAGGCAATGATCTTCGTCTAGAATCGAAGCAGAACAGAATACAAACTGAATTTGAATTTGAATTATTCTGAAACTGGACATTTGGCTGTTGCATATTTATAATATAACCTACTTCAAGGCTAGGTCTAGACACGATATGCCCAGCACCTTAATCCTGAGCACTTTAACTTGTCGCACTGATAATAACTCACCGATTGTGACCTCTCTTATTGATTTTACGTTGTACGTTGCGTGTGGTACTTCATCCAAAATAACGATAATATAATTAGCAAATAAATCTAGCACCAAAATGAAAATAAAATAGTTTGATTGTTAAAAAAACGACTTTGTGAGCATGTACCCGTTCTCTCAGTGATTGCTTACATACTTTATTCATCTGATTGCTACCTTTTTGTATGTCTGCAATACACACGTTCTCCAAGAATACCTAACTAGCTGAGCCTAAATACCTTTAGAAAATAATGATTCTGCACTTTTCCTGGGCGCAAAAAGCGACACAACTTGAAAACTTGGAAAAACCGGTATTAAAGTCCAAATCTTTGCTATATTCTAATTTATTGTCAGAAAATTTGGAAATGAGAATGATAGTAAAAACAGAGTTCAGAAAAGTTGTCAATCTGCCTCCGGTCTGGATTATCAAGCTATAAAACCCCCTCATTTTAATTGGTTTGAAATGGGCGTGGTCATAAAAAGTGCTACTCAACTAGTCTTGATCTCTTTCCCGGCAAACTCCCTTATTTCAAACTTTTCTAGAAATCATTATCTTGTTTTTATTATAGATATTTTTAGAGACCGATTTGAAGTATGATGTCTTTGCCGATTAATAACTAAAGCGTGACATTACTCAAATATAAAAGTTGTAAAAAGTTAATGCCTAAGTTTTATGGAGCAAAGCAGTTCTACAAACATATTTATATTAAAAACCAGGACGTTTTGAACTTTATTTTGAGTTCTTTTTCATTTTTTTGTGGTTGTATTTTGAAATCCAAACTTCCACAAGCTTCCAAATTTCCGGCAATCTTCCTCAATTTTCATTTGCTACTACAACCTTCCTCTGGCCAGTGGCCGTGGAGCCATGGGGTTTTCTGACTCTGAGTAAAAAGCTATATTTAGAATATATTTATCAGTCATGTTTCTCTTTTTCGACAAAAACGTAGGATATATTAAAAGTCGATGAACGCTAAGACTAGCCATTATTCTTTATATGACTCTTGGATCGTATCAATTTTTGTGTGTATAAATTTGATAAAATCCATGCTGGTGGATGATAGCATCGTTCCTTATTGCTATACAAAGTACTAAGAGTTTGGTAAAACAATTACTGAAATAACGCAAATCATAACATTAATATGTTGTGAGAACTAAACTCTTTTGTCCTATGCTTTCTTTTTTGGTTAGTGGCTCTACTGAAATTTTAAGGTGTAACAAGTAAATACTGCTCTAGTGCCTCACAATAGAGTAATGTTTTGCTGTGCTGAATTCTTGGTGCGTCAGATCACTGGCAATTCATCTAAATCTAATCTGTATTAAATTAAAGAAAGTAGATTGGAAACAATCTCCGTCTTATTGCCAATTTGTTGGAATCTTTTGCACACGTGCGAACTTTGATTTTGTTCAAATTTATCTTTCCTTAGGACCACGAGAAGACTGGATACCTCACATGTTTGACTGCATTTCCATGGTCGGACGCTATGAGTTCAAAAGTGGCAAAATGAGATATTCTAATAGATTTTATGACACGAAGGAAACACGCATTTGGAAACACTATAATCACAGTATAGGGAAGGCCAAAGTTGGTTGGAATACAGTGTTCTCTCCAATAGATCTTCCTGCATACGTGAAAAACATGGGGATGCAGTACAATGAGACATTGTGGGCGACACCAAACATTGTTTTCTGGCGGTCACGGCCTGAAGATCCAGTCTTTGCAATAACAGAATCACTAGTGGGTCCTGCAGAATTAACAGTCACCCCAGAACTTGATGTGCTTGGAAATTATGTTGGGAAGTTTCATGATAAAGGGTTCCCAAGTAACACTACTCATGATTTTGTTAACAGTCCGGCGCATGAACAGCGAGAAAAGGATGGAACGATCTGGCATTCAACTATGGACATCGAAAGAGCCTCTCCAACAAAACCTGACAATTTGGAAGCTGCCATTATTGTCTACAATATGAAAGGGCCTAATCGTACTGTAGTGGCTCGCCATGTCCTTGGAAAGTACAATCTCACAAAGTGTCGTCTAGGACTGAGTCTAGATGACATCAAAATCATGCCAGGGTATCATCACTACATAGAACTAACAAACAACTATGCAATTGTCCCCCAATCTTCTTTTCTCTTTGATTACTGTCAACACTACGCAAATATAAGAAAACCTATGGGCTATTTCCCGCGCTCTTTCAAATTCTACAAAGACTTTAACTCAAGCCTTCTTTTCTTTGATCGAAGTAACATGTCAAATGTGCACAGAGTATTTCTTCCCTTCGCAAGATTCTTCACTCACAGCCTGAATGCCTTCGAAGATAGCAACTACATCTACCTGGATACAATGGCCTACCATAATACTGATCTTTACGTAAAAGCTTTTTCAGTCTTCGAGTCTATGAATGGCTATAACTGGAGCACATCCTTTATTCGTATTGCCATTAACAAGAATACATGGTCTTATGATCCTTCTTTGAGTGGCTCTCTCACTCAAACTGAGCCTTATGGAAAAGCCGAATTCGCACAGATAAATTCTGATAGATTCCATAACAAAGACTACACATATGCTTACTTTGTCAGCAACCCAGTAACCCGAGACACTCGCATCGCCAAGTTAAACGTGAAGACAAAGCAAATAACTTACTGGGTTCCGCCAGTTGGATATTATCCCCAAGAGCCTATATTTATGCAACCGGACGAAGCGTTGGGTGAGGATGAAGGCGTAATTTTATGCTCCGGTCCTGTTTCTGATACAATACCATCTTCAAGCTTCCTAGCTGTTCTCAATGCAACGGACATGAAGCTTATTGCAATGGTGAAGAATCCCAATACTGGCTTAATAAGTCTTCACAACAGATTTTACAAGCGGTTAGCCTCGAACCCACAAACATCTTCACCAATACCTTCAAAGGTTCCTTCGACAATGAAGAGCACCAGCGCACCATCATCGGGTGTTACCATTTTTGTCACATACGCTTCCTTTGCTTCAGTTTTCTTGGTTCTATTCCAGCTATTTATTTAGACTTTTAAAATTATATAGAAGGATTTGAGTTTTCTGTAACCAAAGAAAATTTGCTTTTTTGTGTAAATGCTTTTATAGTTGTAGCTCACGATTAGGCCATTAGGCGAATTGTCACAGGATACATCATTTTGTTCTTTTATGGACGAAAATTCCTTGTTTCTCTCAATTCATTGGCCACAATTACACTGCATTTCAATAAGTTGATCAAAATTCAGTACCTAATTGACCATTATCCAGTACCTAATTTAGAGCGGTTATTGGCCACTAGCAGTTTTCTCGGGAATTGAAATAATTGTCTTGGAAACAAGAGCCAGTGGGGGGGAATGTGGTCATTTTGGTTTAGATATTAATCCTGTTGAGGTGCTTATTGCTCTTTGCTATCCATTAGCAGGAAGACAACCAACGTCAAAGTGCTTATTACCAGTGGTGGGGTGTAAAATTTTTTGGGAAAAAGCAGATTGATTATGGCTACTTTCGTTTCTCGTTTTATCGTTTTGATTTTTAAAATGTCACAAATTCGTGGAAAGAGTTCAAAGTAACAAAGTTCTGTTAAATAATAAAATTTGGATGTGGCAATTTGAAGTTCGTGGTATGCCACATTTTTTCCAGCTGTGTAGTCCTGGACCCCCCATCTTTTCCAATCAGCAAAATCCGTGGTCTTGGAAAAAAGGCTTTAGTTAGATTAGGTTATCCTTGATACTACAATGCAAAACATAATACATTTACATTTAGAATCGAGGAGTTAAGTAAGAATGCTGGTCACCAAAGCCCCAATCTTAATGCATAAAGCTATTTCAACCAAGTATCAAATTATTCATGTTTCTTTAGAAATTTTAAAAAGACTTATAATGGGGACCAAGGGGGTCAAACCCTTTCCAGACTAGGCTTTTTGAAACTTTGGGGAGACTAGGGGCCCACAAAGTGCCTCTTCCGTAATTTCTTGCTCCTTCTGGCAAGGACAATGAATTTTGGTAGGGTAATACTCTTATCTATTCTTTACATTTTATTGATATTGCTTTATTCTAAGTCACGTGGTCTAGCGATGACGTCATCATAATGGCGGCCGGGTGGTGCAAAAGTTTTGAAAATTTTAGAAAATCTTAAAAACTTCATATAAATTCCCAAAGTATCGGGCTAAGATTTTAAAATAAGCAAATTTCATGCATTTTCTAACAGAAACAAGACGAACAAAACATTTTTAATGTTATTTCTCATAATTATTAACGTTCCAACTCAAGCACTCAACATCTTTGTATATGGCTATCGTTCTTTCTATATAACTAAATGATCGATATAACTAAATACCATGTTTAAGTTCATTTTTAATGATTTAGCAGACAAAATAATCTAAACTATCTTGGTTCATAGCATCAACTTGCAGTTTTTTTAAATTAGCACCTAGAAATATGCCAATAAATGTTTGCGCATGCGCAGCAGAAAAACCATGAAAAACGATGTTGAATCTAAATTTTCTGGTCAGAATCATAAAAAGGACACAAATTAATGCCTTGATACTAATTTCCATTAATGTATCTACTTTAGTTGCGAATCCGTGGCAGATTAAATTTTTACCCCCTGATTAACAAAGAAAGTTTTAATTTGTTATATAACATATATATGAACATGTGCCAGACAGGTTAAAAATAAAAGTCAAGAGGTCTGAGGGGTATTGCTTTGAAACTCGTGAAGTTATGAAAGAAAAACCAATTTGGAGGGCACTTTGTGCCCCTCTCCTTGTCTGGATAGGGCTAAACCTTCCTCCGATATACTTGAAATTACGCCTTCTTGGACCTTGGCATCCTGAAGCATTTTTAGCTATCCCCGATCCAGTAGATGGCTTAAAAACTTTTTTTTTATTGGATATAAAAAAGGGGGAGAAGTGAACTATTCATGTGTAACGAAAGGGAATTAAAAAGAGAAAACCAAATCTTGACATTAGCACATTTGAGGCTGCATCATACGCAATTACATCGCAACTCAAAAGTAAAAGGTAACGTAAACAAAAACAGTAAATTCAATAACAAGCATAAAAACACATATGGTAATAACACAAAGAATTATCAAACGTCTTTTACAAAGAATTGTCAAACTTCACTGTCTTTCACAACATCAAGTAATATAAAGCAGCTATAAAAAGCAAAAAACTCTTAACGATTTTTAATGTGGCCATCACAAGTAAAATACTACATTCGAATTTCTAAACAAAATTTATGGACATTCAGTGAGACGCCTGGGGATTTTTGGGAAAATGTGAAGAGGGTAAATGATAAAACGGAACATCAGGAAAATTAAAGTTTTTGCTGCGAAAATGGAACAAGAGGCAGAAATTGCCGGTTTCAGAAAAGTAGCATTATGCTTCTTAATTATTATTGAAGTATACCTAGCTTAATTATTAGTTAGCTTACTATAATGTTTGAGCTGCAGCGTTATACTACCTACCTACGCAATCAGTAGCGTTATGCTTCTTAATTATTAGTATCATACTAGATATTGTTCATTGGTCAAAATAGAGAGAAAGATAATGGAAGAAGTAAGTGAATATGAATATCTACAATCCTGGCCAAAAGGTTAATGAATTGGAGAAAAAAACCATTAAAATTGCAACTTTACCCCAAAAATATTATCAAAACCCCAACCCCTGCAGCAGTGTATGTTTCTTTGAAAATACCAAAGTACCAGCAATCGCGAAAGCGTAGAAATAAGCGTATCAACATTGACTGTGGGTGGGCGGGGAGAGTCTTTTTCCAAAAATACTACTATTTGCAACCCAGTCCAATAACTTTTGGCCAGGATTGCAGGTCATCTACTAACATCAGAAGACGAAACAAACAAAAATATTGACAGAAGAGTTGCTGCAGGAGGACAAAGAATTGGACAATATGTCGATTCATGAGAAAAATTCAATACTCAAAATTTGAAGAGAAGAGTAACAGATGGAGTCATAATACTAGCAACAACATACGGTGTGAAAACATGGACTTTGGCATAAAGTGGCAGTGGCATAGATAACAGGCACAGAACAGGCGTTGATAAAAGTAGGGGTTCTAAAAAGCGGAGGGGAGGCTAAAACCGTATAAAAAGAGGTTTTATTGGTAGTTTATTTCTTAATATTTGTCATATTTTGCAAAAATATGGGGTGGGGGGGGGCTTAAGCTCCGCGGTGCCTGGAGAAGCAGGGGAAGGGGAATGTGCCTGAGCATTTCATGCCTGAACAAGTAGACAAATGAAAGCTTAAGATCACAAACCAGATGGTTTGACGTTATGGACTCTCCTAGTTTTTTGACGTTATGGAATTTAACAAGCAATTTGCCAAAGTTCTAGCAGACCATCCAATCAAATCCTTTTGAAGAAGATTAACATTTAAGAAAGAATCTCACAGAAATGTGACTACAGTCAATTCCCACTATCTCGAACTCGCACGGGAATCAAAATTTGTTCGACATAGCCGGACTTCGAGATTGTAAGCAGCAGTACACATATCTTTGTGAAGAGAGAACTAAAAATACAGTGTTCCTTTTTAGGCATATATTTTCCCCGGAAATCTTTCTGTGAGAAACCAGATGAACTAATTCTCATTAGAATCGTTTATTGACTACATGACAGCAAGCAAATGAAAGCGGGACTACCGCTAGTTATTGTGCTCAAGGGGCATTTCCAAGTTTCATTTGCCGACCAAGTGGGTGAACGAAAGTGGGCGCACTAAGCTTCCCTGGGTAGCAAAAAGCTCCTCTTTTTGCATTAAAATTTTTTCCAAGGGGGGGTCTCACACCCCCACATGCCTCCCTTTAGTAACGAGCCTGAATGAAAGCTCTTTGGAATCTGACCCAACATAAAAAATAATACCGAAACGTTAGATACTAAAAACTTTTTTATAAGGTGCTTAAGCTTGGTAAACTTACCGTTGTCTACAAAAATTTCGTTTCTGGATTTGTTCTTTTTTAGTAATTTGAGGATTTGGCTTCTTGTTTGCAAAAAACGATATTATCAAAAAATTTGTTTAGATCAGCTTCTTTTGCCAAATTTTGAAACTTAGAGACAAGTCGGTTTTAGTTAAGTTACATTAGAATTTGGTAACTTCCATTTCTTTTTACAAATGTTACTAATAATCTTTTTGACTCTTCGTTATTTTAGTCTTTGTTCATGTAAGAATTAAAAAAATCTGCTAAGCTGAATTTATATCTTTGATCAACTGACTGATGATTATCATTGTGTCTATTATCTAATTATCTAAGCGTTTTTGAAAAATAAAAAACTATGCTTTGATTAAAAAGTTACTCTGAAATGATTTTAACTGTCATGTTAATGAGCATTTGAACAAAGAAAACATTTTTTAATCAAATGTTGTGTTGAATAACTTTCAACAAGTTCAGTCAAACAGACAAAACCACATTTAATAAAGACTGGTTCTGATGCAAATATACATTGTACATGTTAACTGATTCTATTATTAGTGACAGTGCCAGCTACTGCAGAGTGAGGGGGGGGGATGGGCATGGTCAGTGAGACTATGCCCCTATTTGCTACGTTTCAGGGCAGCGTTTTGCACCAGGTAATTTTCCTTAGGAAATATGACCCAGGCCTGGCCATTTGAGGAGAGCCATAGCTCTTGCTCCCCTCCAGGCTCTCCTCGAACAATGGAGGGGAGCTAGAGATTGCTCTCCTAAATTGTTCTAAAAGCAAATTTGCTCTCCTTGAAATCAATTTGTTTCTATTCTTATTGCTCACCTGAAAACTACTAGGAGAGCTGTTTACTGCTCCCCTTTTAAAAGTCTTACGGCCAGCCCTGATGACCCCTACCTAGCACATTTTATTCAATTTCAAGACGAAACATGTGGACCATGTTTTGACAAAAGTGGGTGGGGGTAATTACCCCTATGACCCCGTTGGTACTGCCACTGTCTTTCACTATTCTTCACTGCATGTAGCTAAGCATAACTTTGCACCAAATGGCAAAACGAATTGTTTAGCTTTCAGCTTTCACACTATTAGGAAAATCGTAAATGCAAAAAGATTTAAACTTACAATGAAGACAACATTTCACTAATATTCTACAATAGTATGCAGCAAAAAGATTAGAAATATGTTGAAAGTAAAATAAACAATCTAAACCATAAGCCTAAATTAGTGATTCTATGGACCAACGATGATTGATACGAGTCAATTATGACGTGCTTTAATTTAGACAAAATCAATATATTACCCAACAAATGATGTACAAAATAATTTACAACTGTCCAGAACTATTCAGAACTAGAGGTTTGGCAGACATCATTTTCGCAAATCTGTAGAGGAAAATATATCAGATTAGGCTAACAGTAACACACATACCATATAATTGAGAGAAATAGAATAAAAAATTATACAAATCATGCGACAATACATGCTTAAAATTCTTACTAAAAAAGAGAAAAGAGCCCAGAAAATGAAACACAAAAAAACATAAATTCAAATGCCAATCAAAAACATTACAAGCCATATCTAATACAGTAAAAACCCAAGTGTAAGAACCCAGGATTTTAAGAGCCTTCTGGCAGAGATTTGCTTTTTTAACACTAAAAAATATAAGAAGAATTTCTGACAGGTCCTATTTAGCCAAACAATCTCTGACAGGTTCTTATATGTGGGATTTCACCATTTAATTTATATATATTTTACCAAAAACAAAAAAGGTGATAGAAAATTGAATTTTTAAAATAAAACTCAAAATGCACAATGTATGTTAAAGTCGAACGGTTATTTTAAAATAACATCGCCACATTTTTATAAACAGTTGTTGGTGGGCATTCAGCAACATTGGTACACTAATAAATAATTAGAATGAAGAACAGATCAGGTTTAATTCTATTTTCTGCTAATCAATAATAATATCTTCTTTTTAGAAAGCACGAACCTAACTAGAAACCTATTTAGCCTCAACTGTCAATAGGTACCCCATAATACAAGAACCTGTTGAACCCTGCCAAACTCTTAAAAAGTAGGTTCTTACACGCCCTGGTAAATTGTGAGGAATAAATGTCTTATCAATTAACACAATTCTAGTCATCTTTTGTGAACCAAGCATCAAAACACAGGAAATATAAGTAAGTTGACTTAACCACACCTTAACAAAAAATGCATTTGAAAATCAATTCAACCGCAAATTTTTATGGATACTTTAGGTACTTCGTATTTGAACTACATTAGCAGTTGAAACAATTTCTGGGCAGTTAAAGCGTTTTTGAAAGGTATGGGATGGGCTGGGGAGAAAAGGACACTCCCTTCTAAGATGGTTGATTGAGCCTGACCATTTTAAAAGAAAGTATAAATTGCAAAGGCTAAGTTATTCAGCTTTTGCCAACCTTTGTACAACTTCAGTGAATTTTTGTAAACTATACTGTTTTTCATTACGTAGTGTTCACAGTGAGTCATGTGTTGTTATTCATTAAGACTTTCTTTGTTTTAAAACAAATAAAACCCAATGACAAAAATATGGTTTCCTATATTTTCATTACCCTATTTTACACCAACTTTTGCTTTTTAGATGCAAAATCTTACAAAACATACAAAAGTTCAGAGAAAATGGCCTGATAATGACCAAAAATAAGCAGAAAATATTTCATCCAAAAGCAGATAAAAGATATGAGAGGAAAAAATATGCATTTGTTTGGTTCTTTGTTTTCAATTGATCAGTGACTGCTAACTTCTCACCAAGTTGAAGTGTCAAAAAGAGAAATGTGAATGCTTACCAAATATGTCACCAGTAATAATTTTTGTCTTGATGATTGGTTTGGGCCCCACTGGCACAAGCTGATATTTTTCTTTCTTGCTCAACCTCCTTAGAAGTTCCTGTCTACTTTCTTTGTCTTTAGCACCAAACACACAGGCCATACTCGATGTCAAGGGCCTTGGTATGCAAGTCATTTGTGTGCCATGCTGCAGAACTGGTATATATTTTGGACTATAGCCACCAGCTTTAAAAATTTCTTGTGACATAAAGGTGTGTGCATTTTTTACAATAGCATCATGCTCTGTAAAAAGGAATTTAAAATAAATTCAAAACTTAACAAAACTGATTATTGGATCAACCTGTGCTTAAGCCACTCTCAAACATCAGCTGCTAATAATGAGCTAGAATTTTGGAAAAAAATTACTTGGCTTCTTTGTTATTTAGGTCATGTCAACAAGGATAAATCCTTAAAAGGATCCATTTTCATCTTTATCAAACACAAAAAAATTTGCCTTTACATGTAACAAAATGTGTTTTGAAATCATGAGCATCTTCAAACTATTTCAATCTGTTGTAATATTGCTGAAAAAATTAGCTTTTGATTCAAATCTCCAAAGTTTACTTGGGCTAGTTTCTGTTATATAGAATGTTGACAACCCTATAAACATGCAGGCAATGTAGAGAAAATGGAAATAAATGAGTTTTAATATCATATAAACCCAATATTTACCATCCATGTCTTTATCTGTGCAGCCATCACTAACAATTTCCATATATTGCGGGCTGCAGATGACTATAACATTGGATGCAAAATGCATTGTCTCATAAAACCATGTATATGGTTTATCAATGAAATCATATTTCTCAATACACCTTGCAGCAAATCCTTTTTTCCGTAACCACTCTACTAACTGTATACAAAAAGTGGTTTGATCTTGGGCTGAAACCACAAAGACTGAATCTTTCTTGCAATTTTGTATTTTTCCAGATTCTAAAATGTTTAAAATTGTTAAATTTATCTTTTGCTAGGGCAAAAAAATGCATGACAATTTATAACGAGGATGCAAAAGACAGCATTTACTAAAAATTAAAACAGACATTCAGTTTTTTAATTATAGTATCTTCAAAAGGTAGTTACTCAATACATATATATAAATATATACATCATTCTGAGGAAGCATATTGCGAAACGTTAATAAAGTTGTTTTTTTACTGATCATCTATATATATAGATATATATAAATATATAAATAAAATGCCATAAAAGCACCAAACAAATTAAGACAAACCCAGACAAATTGCAAGAAATCGTGTGTTTTATTGAATAAAATGATTATGATTACAAGTCTGAAAAAGAAAGAAACATACTTGTTATTGAATTCTCTTTTGAATATTGTCCTGGAGGTCTGTTCATCAGAGGAAACTGAATGTCATTATAAATGGCCACAGAACTTATACTTTCTGAAGAATGGTACGAGGATAATGTGCCACCAGAAGAGGTCGATAAAACTGTTTGTACGGAACAAAGTGAAACAGTATCATCATAGTTAAACAACTTCCTTTTCAAAAGTGTCAAAAGTGAACTTGTTCTTTCTCCATTTTCCTTCTTTTTTGCATCTATTCAAAGCAAACAGACAGCTTAGAATCTTACTAAAGATTATTCTAGAAAGAATGAAGCCTTGAAATTGCTTGTGCTCAACTTTATTTTCACTGGACTGAAATTCACTCACTGCTGAGCTTGACTGATAATTAAACGATTTAAACCAATCAGACAACTTTGACTATAGAGCTTTTGAATCACATTGCTGTGTTCCAGTTGAAGTGAAGCTGTGGCGAGAAAAGTTTTGTTCTCTGTTTGGTTTGTGCACTAATATCATCATTCAATTCCAGTAGTTAAATCTTCTTGCCATTTCCAATAGCCTATGTTCTTATAAAATTGTTGTTATAAAAAGCAGGTGTATACCAGTTCTCAGGCACGTAAGGACAGAATTGCCAGGATAATATATGAGCCTCAATTAATTGCCCAGGATGATCGCAAGGGTTTTTTGTACCCTGATATTGATGACCCAGATACTGAAACACTTGGTGTGGTGCCTTGTAATAAGTCCAAAATTTGCATGGCTTTTTATAGGCTATTTGCGGCACCACAATTACACTTTATTTTTGCCAAGCCTAGAAATTTTTTAAAGATGCTCATTTCCAAGTCTGAATGAAATGTTAAAGAAACAATTCAATTCTTTTTTTTGTTACATGTCCTACCTGCTAGCGGTCTGAGATACAAGCCATTTCAACATTAATCCCGAAGTACCCTCCTCTTTAGGAATGGTTAAATGCTTAGCAGCTAAGGGTAATGGTGGGCTAATACCTCATGCAAATTATTTGCCCCCTTCTTATTAAGAACTTCCAACTGTTTGAGAGATACTGCCCCAATCTCAAAATCCAATAATGTTGAACAAACTTAAAAATATATAAACTAGACCAAGAAAGTGATAAAATCTTCAAAATAGCTTCACTCCTGTGAATATCCCTCATGAAAAAGGTCCTATCAGTGAAATTTGCTCAAAAGAATGTATTTTCCAGTGAACTGGAAGCATCCAAATTTGAAAATTTTGCAGCAACTATGGTGGAGCCTTGGATAACAAATGTAAATTGTTTGCTTTTCCTGATACCCAGGTATATGGGGTTTGAAGGTCAGTATGATGTATTTGAATATATATCATTCAAGCGTCTGCATAAAATGCTCATGTCCATATATAAATTTTAGTGTCCATTTCGTCTATATATTTAAGCAAAAACCAAGGGTGCCTTCTATGGAAAATTTTAAATTTTGTGTGCAATTTCAAATTTTAGAGTGCAAAGCTAACAATTCTAAAATGATATCATGCATGCATTTTCCATACTCTGCAGACTGGCTCTATTGGATGCCCATCATTACATATGCCTACTCACACATAATAATCCTAACTTCCTAGCAAATCATATTACCATAAAAGCCATGCATTTTTTAAACCTAAGCTTGGGAGGAAAGACATGCAGCCATAAATGTATTTACATAATTATTAGCCATTTTCTCATTACGATCGGGGGCCATGACACTTTAGGAACACCTATCAGTATACACTAGGGTATCAAAAGTATTGCGCCTCCTCAAAGGGGGAGAAATGGCACATGAATGATTGAAAGCTAATGCAAAAAATTTTGTTTTTATGTGGCAAATGGCAATTAGTTGAAAGCAAAACAACCACCAATCAAAACTTCAATCTATTTAGAGCATTTGCTTGAAAAATAACAGCAGCAAACTTCTTTTAGCAGTTTCAAATTTCAATATTTTGATGGGTAGCCGCAAACTTTTGAAACCACAAAAAGCCTACTTTAAATGGATCTATATATTTGGGCAATGTATTCTTGTGGCATTTCGTATAAGGCCTAGAAACATCTTACAATTAACGATTCTCTGATTTTTAAACAACCATTCGGATCATGGTTTGTAACGTTTTAATTTGAAAATTGGACCTGATTCTGGCTATGTCAAAGCTTTAATTTCTTTTTTTTGAAATAATTCTTTGTAAAAATGGTTTCAATTTACTCAGGTAACTTTTTCTTTTTTATTTGTGCAAAAAACTTATTTTCTTTCCTTTGGAAGGATTCTTAGCTGCAAAACCTTGCTCAGTGTCGGATTTCGTGTCTGTTACTGTTCTAAAGCAGTGAAAGAAAACAGACAAATTCTTTCCCCTTTAACTTCAACTTTTTTGGTCACCCACTTCTCAGTTTGTTTACTACTATAACACTCTCAAGAAATTTTTTTGATTTTCCCCAGCTGTTGATATCTTTTTTAAAATTGAAGACCACTTCCTCGTAATTATTTTATAGCAACTTGCCTCTCATTTGACAATTTTGCTTCTTTAGAGACATGGTCTAAATTTTTTGCAAATTAAAATGTTTCTGCGTAATTTATACATTGCTAACTAAGTTTCATATAAGGTCAGCAATATTTTCAAACTTTCCCAGCCGAAATTTGCTATAAAATGCGCCAAGTTCGTCCAATTCATGCATTCGAATGTCTTTTATTGTCAAAGATTGACAAAAAGTGCCGCCATTTTGAAAAAGGTGGTGCAATACTTTGATACCTTAGTCTACTTCACTTCGAATTAAAATGTCGAATTAACTAGTTGGGACTTCACATTGAGGATTGAAGAATGAGCTACTTCTTTCAAAAACTGTGCAGCGTAAATCCAAAAAATTAACCTTTCGTGCCACTGTAAGCCGTGAGAACTATCTCTATCGCATCGAGTCTCTTCATTAAGTATAATGCTTCAACCAAATCGAACAACTTCGCTTGTCCTTTTGATTCTTTCTGGTATTTCAAAAGGATAAACGCTGTCGGATTCTTGCTTTTCCGAAGATAGTAACGAAGTGACTCAAAATTCTCATCTGGAAAGAGTCTTGCGGCTAATTCAAGGTAGTTTTTTCCCATGCCTGATGGTCTCTCTATATCGAGAAGTTTACCAAGCTTTTTGCGATATTTATCAGAAAAATTTGATAACAGCGCATCATCGAGGAACTCCCTTATCGGAACAAGGTCTCTCCTTGACTGGAAATCAGTGTCATAATACAATTCTTTGTCATCCATTTCGCTTTGTGGTATCCTATTTTCACCGTCAATTGCATTATCGGCGGCCGAGGCTTCGACGCCATCTTGTTCTTCCGTAAGTGAGTTAACGTTTTGTACCCCAGTATGTTTATCCGATGATGGCCTAGACGCATCTTCCGTTACTGACAACATCTTGAATTAATATGTTTAAATGATTTAATAATTACAGTACGAAACGATTAAACTACGACATTCTTGCAACTTTGATGATTATTACAATCACTACTGAATGTTTTGGTTAGTCACCCTTTACGCACATCCATCGGTGATTGGCACTTCCAAAGTTCCGTATAGAAAATAAACCAATCAAATGTTGTGTACATCAGCGACAAGGATACAAGCCGTATAAATTGGAACGTGATGCATTCCGCGTTATTCCTCTTTGCATAGCAGTGCGCAACAAGGCCATTCGGTATACGAAGGGCGGGATACAGAAGTAGATGGTCACTCGGGGTGGGTGGTGCTTGCTCCCGTGTTCCTTTTTGGGAAAAATACCAATTCTTCCAGTGTTCCTGTTGAAAAGTAAAAAAAATGTCCCTTAAACTACTGATAATGTTCCCATGTTTCCAATGTAAAGTTTAAAGTTGTTCCCGTGTTCATGTTCCATTTGTTGACATGTTCCCTTCTCAGGGCCTCCGTCGAAGGAGGACCAGGGGGCCATGCTCCCTCCACTTTTTGAGTAAAAGGGCATTTGAAAAACTGTCGTTTTCTTTCGGTCTTCTGTCGGTAACTTAAAAATCGGCTAAATTTTGACATAAGAAATTTCTTCATAATTCTCGAGAAATGTCGTCATTTATAAGTCAGGATTTCATATGTATCTCATGGATTTCCTACAAAAGGCCGGCGTCAAGGGCACTTCTATGCAAAGGGCACTTTGGCCCCTTTAGCCCCCTTCTGTCAAAAAGCAACAGGGGTGGTTGACTCCCCGCCCCCCCCTCTCCAGCGTTTCTGCTACCACCCCACAAAAGTGCTCCTTATTTTTGGTTGCTTTGCTACTGCTCTTGTACCAAACTTACCGATCTTTGTCTTCATTTCACTCCTTTTCTTCTATTATTTTTTTATATTGATTCATTTATTTCACATCAAGATGAGCCTTCAGTATTGGAGTTGCCGATTAATAATGTAGAAGTAGAAAGTGATATAGAAAACATATTACAAAAACAAATTTAATGTTAGTAGCAAGTTTATATACAGAGGACCAAATCTGCAAAATATAACTTAATTTGTTAAGATACACAAGGAAATTTGCTGTTAAATGACAAAACTAAAAATAAATGATGGCTTTGAAAAAAGGAAACATTTTGTAACAAGCTACTAGAGCTTTTCGTCAGGCAATCTTCAGATTATAAAACGTAATAACATAGATGTAATCTCTACCCTAGAAAAGTATACCCAGTTGTGGATCGAAATAGGCCAATTACAAATGCGAGCACGTAACTGTTGAGGTTGCCCAATCAGTGCTGTTTGCCTATTGATGAGAATGTTATACTCATGGAGTCCTAAGGTGAAACTAGCCTGCGCGTACAAAAGTGGCTTTAACATGTTTATATAGATAGATTCCAAAACTGCTAAATGGAACGACGATCAGGCTCTACAAAACGTCGGAACATGTCGCCATTATAGTTTTTTGCACAATCTGGGTTTTCTAGTGAATGCTGCCCAATAGCGGAATTGCATGTTTTGGTTGTCGTTTTTGATCTTCAAGACCAAAGAGGCCGTTTTCTTTGGGGGAGTGTTTTGTTTCTAATTCTAGAAGGCACATTTTCTTTTATCCTATCCCCTAATCTTTGGGCTGTGCGTCTTACGTACCCAGAATCACACTGGCACGTAAACTAGTAGATAACTGAACTCTTTTTGGTGGTAGGAAAGCAATTCTTTTGATTGGATGGAAAGGCTTTTTTGGTACTGCAAGAAGACGCGAATCAACAGCAAAGAAACATTTTGTGATGGCTTGTTTGATCTGACTTTCAAATCACAAGGAAATGTTGCCGATCCAGGGTATTTTTTTCTGAATCAGGCACTTTTGCGGACAAACTTTACTTAAGGGGTTTGTATACATTTGTTGTAAAATTATACTAGTCTTACTAAATTGACTGCTGTGGTGTAACCCTTAATTTGATTGTTGCAAATATTTCACAACTTAATAAAAAACGCTATATTTTTTAAAAATTTAAACTTACATCTATATATAGAAATGTTGCCAAAAAAACCAGGGGGTAACTAACAGGGTTTTAATAAAACCAGGGATAACTAACAGGCAGGGGCGCAAATGAGGGGGGTGTCACACCCCCCAATAATTTCACTGCTCGGTCCCAGTTGAAAGTTGATAGCAATGAAGTCGGTCCCGATCTAGCCATCTGCTAAGTATTTCTATCTATCACACCCAAAGCTGGTCCCAATTCTGCTGGTACCATGCTGTATTGCAGTAAAGTAAGGCATATAGTGGGCGCATTTTCTAGGAAGGGCTAATCACCGAAAAATGACAGGGGACAGAATCGGTCCAGTCCGGTCCCAACAAGCGCTGCTTTGGAAAAAAAACTCTAGCTGCCACCGACAACAATAACTTTTTCGCCATAGGTACATGCTTTATCTTGTTTCCGTGCTATGCGCGGCGTTGGATGCGCAAATTTCAAGAGGAATGTGAGAGCAGCAGTCACATTCCCTCAATAGTATCTCAATTGGAAATTTCAGGTAAAATCCGCACGGTGGAAGAAACGCTTTAGGTATTTCAGAGACCTTCCTGTTATAAATGAAGGTTCAAGCAAAGGTAGTTGCTCTGTTGGTTAAATTAAATATGATATTTTTGTTGGCATTAAATCTAAAAATCCAGGCCCTCTTTAGGTAAAATTGTGCCTTATTTTTTGAACATTCAAAAGGCATGCTAAGACGGAAAGAGTGATCCAAATTGACAACCAGCGTTGTTTGTTACCTAAAAGTAACTGACAACATGGTTTTTTTCAAGACCATAGCGAAATTGTACCAGTTTTTTCTAACTGCTGTTCAATTTGTTTGCAAGAAAGAATTTTCAATAGGGTTAGGAGGACTGCTTTAGTTAAATTTGCTTAAAAAGTGCATTTTCCAGGGAACTGGAAGCATCAAAATTCGAAAATTTCCTCCTCCTTCGGCGGCAACCATGGTGCCGCCTCGGGTAGTGACTATATCCTTTACCCGTTTCGATATAGAGATTTGACAAAACTGTTAGGAAAGTACGTTATTATCATATAAAAATATATGTGGCGAATTATATACAGAGTTAGATTCACCAAACATATTGCAGAGGTTCGTGACAGCAACTATATAATTTCAGGCAATCATATTTCAATCAGGTAAATTTGTTATCCACCCCCCCCCCCGCAAACCCTCCTCCCCTCCTCAACAAGGCTTGCCTCGCGACGGCCCTGGAGAGCGGCCCGGACAATATCTATATCTCTAAAATCGGTCTGTCGTGGCGAAAACTCGGTCCCTTCAAAGAACACCCCCCTAAAAGAAATTTGCATTTGCGCCTAACAGGGTTCTATAAACAAAGTTACCTAAAATCTCCTTAGTACTAGAGGTTGAAGCAAGTCTTATGACTGGAATGTGTTTCCTGCCCTTATAAATCTATAGTTCTACTTAATTCTAGTAGTTGTCTCAAATTCATTTATTTCAGCCACAATGATTTGAGAAAATTGCAAGGAAAGAATCGATAATGTTTTTTATCCTTCTGATAAACTTGGAAAGACATTAATTGGTTTATAGACTCAAAGTTCTTCTAGCTGTGCAAAATATATCAAAGTTTATTAGCTGTTTATGAATTCTAGATCTTTTTCCTTCTTTTTTTCTTGGTGTACAACAATTTTTCTATCGTCGAAAAATGTTATACTGAGGTATTTTTCATACATAAATCCATTGGAAATTGCAAGCTGACTCTTTCTCTTTTTCCTCTCTTTCTGACATTAAGTTTTTGTACTCTTTTCCCCATCAATTCTGGTTCTTTCCCTAGCCCAAAGGCACCCGTTTTTTAGGATTGTAAAATTTGCTGCTACATTTTTGTAATATTTCTGACACCATATGTTGTTTGATTGATTGACCGAGCGAATACACATTTTGACACACAAAATCCATTCCTTTTTGTATTCCATCCAAAGCTAAGACTTTCTGTAAACACAATATCAATACTCAGCTACTAAACCATTTTTCACAAGCACTGTCATGCCATTAAATTATTTATATATATGTGAATGAAATGGTACCTCGAGTGCTTTCACAAGCCCTTGGGGTTGAATGTCATCAGCCCTTTCTTAGCTTTTCAGTCCATAACTATTCTTTATATTCACTTAAACACTCAAACACGATAAAACAGCGAAAAATATGAAAAAATGTCATTTTTGGCTTCATTCACCTCTTTAAATCATTAAAAATTGCTGTTAAAAAATTATGCTTTTTGATTGGAATCC